GGCTGTGACATCAGGTGCAGATGAGGATGTTGGTGTGATCATAATACACTCAGTCTTGTTTTTGTCGCAGTTTGGGATAAGTTTCCACTTACTGCACCAGACATGAAGGTACTTGCACATCAACTGCATAATTCGATGAGCACATATAGGATCTATGTGAGAGACTGCTATGCTTCCATCATCAGCATATTTGAAGAGGCTTGAGTTAGAGCTGCATTCCAGTGGGAGCTGGTCCTTGCATAACATATCCGAGATGTAGAGGATAAATAGCAGGGGTGCAAGGACAGAGCCTTGGGGAAGCCCAAACCATCCACATGAGCGTTGAAATCCGAGACTGTTGTTAACCCTCAGCCGTACTTTGCGGGATAACAGGAAGTTATTTATTATCCGCAAAATGTTCCCTTGTATTTGGTATTTGCTGAGCTTGAAAATCAGGCCTTTCACCCATACACTATCAAATGCTTTGCTAAAATCGATGCATAGTAGGAAAGTAGTGAGTTTTTTCCTCTTGCATTCATCTAGAGTAGCTACTAATTTATAAAGATACCTTGCAGTATTTCTTTGAGGTCTAAAGCCTTCTTGCTCTTCGTCGAGTAAGCCCTCTAGTTCGCAATGGAGCTTTATTCTTCGTTCCAAGATCTTTTCTAGCAGCTTTCCAACATATGATGATATCGATATTGGTCTATAAGCAGAGGGGTTCATGTAGTTATCCTTCCCATCCTTTTTGATGAAAGTGACATTGGATACCTCCCAGACCCATACACCAGTCTCAAGGACAAGGTCATATAGTTTTGTTAGAATCTGAAGAGCTGACACAGGCAGATGTTTCAGGATTTTTGGGTGAAGATTATCAGTGTCAAAACTTTTGGCATTGCTATTTTGAGCCTTCAGTGCTAAAGTAACTTCCTCTAGACCTATTTTCCCATTCAGATGATCATTAATGATTGGATCTAATTGGTCGGTAGGGAACTGAGTCGATATAATGTTGTCATAGCAGCTATTGATTTCTTGTTCGAAGACATGATCAAAACTGCATCCATTCATGTGTTCACCCGAGAAGAATGATTTGTACAAGATGTTTTCTTTCTGAGTTCTGTCAGAGTGGAGGATACCACCATCCATAAGATTTCCCATGTACTCGTTAGGCTTATTGGTCAATGTCTTCTTATAATTTTTCCAGAATATTTGAGACTGAGCAACATTGAGATTTTCCAGTTGCTGATGAATCCATTTGTTTTTTTCGGATATCAAGGTATTAGAAAACTCCTCCTTTGCTTGTTTGTGGAGGGAGACGTTATACGGTGTGTAGCTGGTTTTCATGGTTTCCTGCGCAGCTTGAAGAGTTCGTGAAAGGTCTGTAAGGAGAGAGTTCCAGAAAGGTTTTGAGTGGGTACTGACTTTCTTGAGAGGAATCCATTCATTACCAATCGCAGATAAAATGTTTTTAAAGTCTTGCCACAGCTTTAGAGGGTCTATGTAAGAGTTGATCCTGCCAGTTATGCCAAGGAGAAGGGCCCTGTTAAGTGATCCACACCAAGCATTCCAGTCTGTTTTATCAATGTCCCAGTAGAGAAGAGGAGATGCAGATTGAGCAGTTTGTGCATGACAGAATTGGTGGATGATTGGTAAGTGACCTCTATTTGGAGCACCTGTGAAGAGTTCACTTTCACTGTCAATGCTGGACGATTGGTATAGCCTACATACTTTACCCTTCAACAAAGCAAGGTCAATGATACTCCCACCATTATGGGAGACGAATGTATTGGTGTTCGGAGTGATGCATGTCAGATTATGCTGAGCGATGAATGAATCCAGCTGTCTTCCACGGTCGGTTGTGATGATATCTCCCCAGGAGATGTGCCTACTGTTGAAGTCACCAATTATTATTACATCTTTGATTTTGAACTTGGAGCAGTATTGGAGAGCTTTTGTGATGTTGGTAAGTGCTGAGCTCAGGTTGTTTGTAGAAGTTAGGGAGTGGTTTACATATACATTACCAATCATTACTACCGTTGAATTGTACCTAACAGTGACCCAGAGTGCATCAGTGGTTGTATCTTGAAGTTCACTGATTTGTTGTGGGACAAGCCTGGGGGAAACACTGGTGGACACTCCTCTGCTATTGTTTACCGAAAATGTATCCAGATTATGAAAGGTATTTAAGTGGGGTCTGGAGTTATCCAGTAGAGTTTCTTGTAGAGCCACAATGTCATTTTTGAACTTAAAGTTGAATCTATCAATTGCTGTAATAGACCTGTTTGATAGCCCACTGACATTTATTTGACAGATATGAAGACTTCCGTTGTTTTTAGTAATCATGGTGGTTACTTTGTTTAATCAGATTCATTTTTTCTATGAAATGTGGGCATTGGTTTGAGAAGGCTGTATGATTTCCTCTGCAGTTGCGGCAGCAGTAATTTGATGGATGGGTTCTCTCCGGGCATTCTTTATCAGTGTGGTTTTCTGAGGAACAGAATCCACATGCTGCTTTGCTGCGGCACCATTTCACAGGGTGTCCAAATCTTTTGCAGCCATGACATTGCATTGGTTTTTTGGTGAACTTGAATTGAGCAACTTCTAGCCATAAGTGTTCAAGACCGAATCCCTTGCTTATTGCTTGTGTAAGATCCTCATGTGACTTAAAGATGACTTTAACAGAGTTTGATGATTTGCCCAAGCGAGTTACGTGAGTGCTATTCAAATTGGCATTATTAAGTCCATCAGAGATAGAGCCCATATCAATGTTTATGGGGACATGCCTTATGATGCCTACATGCTTTGTCAGATGCTGGTCAGTCATTCTGAATATCGCTGTGCCCATTTTTGCGCTGGTGTCTTTAAAATAGTGGGATTGCCATCCATTTAGTACTTGTTTGATATCATCCTCAGAGTTTAGTTGAAGAATGATGTTGCCATATCTTGTCTTTTTAATGTACTTTATCTTCATTTGCTTAAACAGTTTGTTAAACTCTGATTTAAGTGAGGTATCATTTGACACCACCTTTTTGTTTGTGACTTGCTTTATGATAACAGACATCTTGGGATCAACTAAATAGTCGGTTCCCACTGCACTAGCTGATTTTTTTGTAGACTCTTTGACCACTGGGGGTTCTATGAAAGTGTTGGTGCTCAAATGAGAGTGAGGTGGTCTTGCCTTTTCAGAATATGATGCAGGTGGTTTGTATACATTTTCTGCAGACATTGTAAAGGGCTTGCTCTGAGCTGGATTATGGGATAGTGTTATGGCGGAGATTAACGTTTTTACTTCTTCTTTTAGTGCAGCTCTTAGTTCCATTGTGATGGAGTCTTTGAGTTGCTGAATATTGGTAATCTCATGTTCAGATTGCTGTGACTTCGTATCTTGGTAGTCAGGGAGTGAAAATTGGGAGATATCAAAATCTCCTTCAAGGGAACTTGAGGTAGTATCATTCACCAGTTTAACTTTTTTCTCAGCAGCATCTATGAATTTCTCCTGAGTATGTAGAGATATCTTTTCCAGGATATCATCAAAGGAAATAGAGTTGCAGCCATTGCAAAACCATTTGTTGTTCTGGGAGATTCCAAGTGCTGTGAAATTTGTGTGGCTCAGGGTACGCATCTTTTGTTTGTGAGCTGTTACTTGTTTCACCTTGTAACAGGTGTAATGAACTGAAAGTTTGCATAGATAGCATGTAAGAAGCTGATCAGCGCTAACATCTTGGTTACAGATTGTACATGAGCCACCAGTATCATTGATACCCTCCTCAGCTCTAGATTCAATTCTGTAGTCAAAATTGTTGTTAAATGTTATGTTGGGAGGTGTGAATGCATCCCCATCTTCTTGATCCGTCTCGTTGATGTCAGGTGTACTGCCTTCAAGTACAAGTGAGCTAGATGATGTTGATGATAGAGTGCCCCTTTCACTTGATTCCATCCTGTATCTTTGTGGAGGTTCTTTCGATTCTGGTTCAACAGAGTTATTTTTGCCAGACTCTAGCATATCATGCTTAGGTGTTAAGCTTTGAGTCTTAGCAGATTCAACTTTTTCAGTGACGAAGCTAGTTGTAAGTTTAGTTTTGTAGGTGTAGTCCTCCTTTGGGAAGGAGCTAGTGGACAAACAGATCAAAGGTTCTCTAAAGGTAAAACCAAATAGTGCCACCTTATCCTCAGCACCGTGACTGCTACGAAAGGATTGCTTTCCATATAATCTGCGTCTTAGATCCTGATCAGTATCTTGATTAGTAGGAGTGATACCATGGTCAGAAAGGACACTTAACATCTGTGGTCTGATCAGTTCTATCCACTCCAGTTCAGCAATTTCGTTGCTTTGAGGGTCTTTGAAGTAAGTTAGCTGAGAAAGTAGTTTGACCCTTTCAGCAGGAGAGAGATATGTTGCATCAGACTTCAGTTCTGCTGGTAGTAACAATTTATAGGTATTCTCATCGAAAGATAAAAGGGTACATAACATTTGCCCACTGGCATTAAAGCAGCAGATAGTGTCAGAGGTTATTTCAGAATCCGAAGAACCAGAGCCACTAAGATTTTTAGCAGCTCCTAAAATACCTGTGACACTTTCAGTACAAGATGCACCACTTCCAGTACTATCTGCCTCCATTGCAAAGTAACTTTGGACAGCTTTCAGCAGGTTGGTGTCTAGTTGTCGTAGCATTCCAGCAGCAACTATTGTTGGGGTCTTAGCTTTTTTCTGGGGGGTAGAGGAAGTGTTAGCATTATTGACGTTTTGTTTTGGGATTGTTTCAACCATGATGAAGTTATTTAGGTATGTAGTACCAAAAACGAAGGCTGGAACACGTCTGGAACAGGTTTGTTTCTATCAAAAAATCAAACTTAATCACCAACCGGAAAGGTTCAGAACTTGTGGGTCTGACTCCCTTAATAGATTTGTGAAGAGGGGAAGGAGAAGCAGGACTTCTCGGGTCTGGAGAGGAGAAGCAGGACTTCTCGGGTCTGTGCTATGTCACTATGTCACTTGTCACGTTATCGTTCAACATTACACATACCTCAAATTATTAGTTATATAGTAGTGTTGAAAGTATTAAAACTCTATCTTACAGTGGTCATACTCTTTCTTATAGTGATATAATGACCACAGCCTAGCCCAGCCCTACGAAGAAGAATGTCCATGGTTTAGTGAAAACCGTGGCTGTAGCCATGTAATATTATTTGTTAATGTTATATTTTAAAAGAAAATCTTATGTATTCAAAATTTGCTATAATAATAACTGCTCGTTTTTGGTTTTATATGGGAGCTGGGTAATTTTCAATAGGCGCAGGTTATATATCCACCGAAAGCACACTGCGGCTTTTTAATATACAGCATATAATATATAAGGTTCGGTTGGCACAATGTTATCCATAATATCAAAATTCTAAAACAAGGTCGACTGTCGAATCCTTAGATTTCAAGACTCTGACTTATGAGGTGATTGGGGACTGACCCGCACGCGCAGGCTGCTGCAGTGTCTGTCTATGATTACTCAAAAATATATAATAATTGTATTAATTATAAAACAACAAATAAGTCCATCTCATCCATGTTAATATATGATCTCCCTCCTGATGTCGTCTGATACAGATAAGAGTATGTCGAATAGTCGGAGGTCTAACCTTAGCCTTGTACAAAGCCTATGGTATCTTTTATTTGATTGGAAGCTCATTATTCTCATATCAGTTCCTCACTCAGTTTTTAGGGACTTCTTCTTCTTGTTGGACATAACTTACAGGTGTAACAGTTAAACAAAAATTTTAGTTAAACAAAAATTTCAATTTTATGCCATTTATTACAAATTAAACAAGTTTACAATAAATCAATTTGATATTTAACGGAATCCTAATTCAATGTGCAGTATGATTGTCACTCTTTAAATAGATTAGATATAGGTTGACGGGGCAAAGGAGTGTGCGTGCTGTTCGCTATTGCTCACACCAAACGGCAACCTAGTAAATGTTAACACCCTTACGTAAAAATGCCTCTCCCACCTCAAGCATAAAACGTCTTTAAACCTTGCTTCATCTTCCAGGTTTCTACCTGGTGGGAGCAATAAGCTTTTAACTGGTTGAAAACCAGGTCCAATTTCAACAACATAACACATTTTCTCAAGGAGGCTGACAGGGGAGTCTAGGGCCTGTCGTGATATCATGGATCGCTTAGGTTCCACCAGGATCTGGTAGTCCTCATGATTCTGCGGCATCTATGTATCGTCATCTCGCACAATGAAAAAGTTAATTAAATTTTTACCAAAACACATGCTGAGTAGATATGACGTCACGTGTGCCCTATTCTGCTATCCCACCCAGAATTGTGCTTTTTTTTGTTTGTTAATATTTTATTGATCATTATTCTCAAGGACAGTGGAGTCCCTTATTGTAATTGATTAATTTGAATCCACCTCTTATAAATTTCGGGAGTGCCGAGTGGTCTGTGTGTTCTTTTTGCCATAAATACATGCAGAGTGTCCATATTTTTAAGGTTGGGTAGTGCGAAGTTTTTGGACTCTTGGACATTCGTGGAGCTGGTTCTCAAAGAAATAGCTGTTAAATTAGTTAGCTTTTATCCATTGTCTTTCTGATGTTACCCATAAATATAGACCATGAATCGGCCATCTTGACCTATGCTATTATGGGTTTTCAAAGGAATTATTTCTTAAAAGTTTAATAACTTTATTCTGTGTAACTTATCTTTCTTTATAATATATATAATATAGCAAGTAACAGTTTACTATAACAGTTTATTTCCATTAGGCAATTATAATCAAACCAGAAAGCTTGTGGTCACATGGAGGAAGTTAATTAAGTATTTTTTGGGTATTGTTGCATGTTGGCAAACGCTAGTAAGAATCTTGATCTTCTGGTAGGACCCAAGCTCATTTAAACCTCAATCACGGGTTTCAGATCATTTGGCTTAGTCGACCGAGGAAACATTATACAGATGTGTAACTTCACATTGATCCAACAATTGCAATGATGAAGAATTTAGAGAGAAGGAAATGATCAAGTTGAAGCTCACCTTCCAGCGATAAAACTCAAAACTTTACAGATTGTGTGTTTAATGGGTGAAAACAGCAGCAGTTTTAACATGAAAGTAAAAACATGTTTAATTTCAAATTTGATATCAGCAAATGACAAATACATGGAAAATGAGAGCTAGAGAAATATTCCTGAGACTCAACACTACCAGACTGCAGCTGGAGTGAGAAACATTATATAAACATAATGGTAAAATTTATTTCTTCTGAACCAAAACACGGTGGTAAAACCATAATTACATTGGTGTTTACATAAAACACAAAACAAATATTTGATATTTTGAAATAAGTTCAGTCTGTTCGTCTCATGTAATGTTGTAATCTGCTATATATTAAGATGTGATAGATGAGATGCTACTTAACTATTCTAAGATGATATGGTTGATTACATTTACCTATTGCATTGTCTGCTCAATACTGTAACTATAACTTTAAATTGGTGTGAATTTACGATTCACTTGTAATTTTGGTTATCATATCATAATTTTAGTCTAATGTACACTTAGTTAGGGCGGTATGTATTACACGCTAATTTTTGTTGTCTGTTTTATTTGTATTGCCTTGGGATGACTAACTACTAAATTGTCAATGTGATTTAATAAACAAATGTTTTTGATTTAATGTGGTTTTTCTACACCTTAAACTTGTTTTACATTTTTGAATTGATTTAATTATGAATTTAAGCCTATATCTATAATCGATAAAAGACCCAAAATTATAATATATTATTATATTATATAATATAATAACATATATAATTCAAAGAATTGTTTTTGTTGTATGTATGTATGTACGACCGCCCACGTGCAAAACAAACGAAAAATAGGAATTTATGTAACAACCAAAACTTTCCATAGCAACTGTGTTTTAATGCACACATGCACGTGCAAAGATTGTTACAACGGCATTTTTTATAGTTTTTGTTGATATTACGTTGTGTTTAGTGCGAGCAACATTTTAATTGGCTGTATCTTCGGTTGTGTAGGATATTTTTTGACGCGATTAAAACTTTCTTTCAAAGAATACTACTAGCTTCGTCCCTGTTACCACGGGCTTTCTAGTAACATATAATATCATAATTTTGAGTCTTTCATCGACTATCGAGCGAGGAAATTGCACAAATAATCTATACTGTTTACAAATTTTTTTTTATTTCAAAATTCAAATAAACTTTACATCAATGTATTACAGTTATATTCAATAAAAAGACCACAATATCTCCTGTGAAGCAAAAACATGGAAAAAGAGAGCTAGAAAAATATTCATGATACTCAACACTACCAGACTCAGCTGGAGTGAGAAACAATATGTAAAAACATCAAGGTAAAATTTATTTCGGCTGAACCAAAACACGGTGGTAAGACCATAATAACATTGGTGCCGACCCTACATAAAATCATTAATAAATAATCAAGAGAACAAATTTAAATGTATACGATACCTTCTTGCTACTACTCCACAAACTTACACGACATAACAACAAAATAACATAATTAAATAATATTATAATAAAACAATCTATAATCTAGCCACTCACGTACTGCGTGACGCGCTTGTTTCGGGTTGTTTCATAAGAGAAAAAGAGGCGCGTTCTACTGCAGGTGCGAGGGGCAAATTATAGAGAGTATGACATTCATAAAGTAAAATATATATATAATAATATTCCATGATGGGCCGTCTAATCAGGCCAGCATACGTCAGAAGACCAGAGAAATTCAGTTAGCTTTGTTTTGAAAATAGAAATTTTCTCAGTCTGTCTAACATAGGCTGGCAGTGCATTCCACAGAAGCATTGTTCTATAAAAGAAGCTGTTTCTGAAACTATCGCAGTTTGGTACAATAGAGCAGGTATATGTGCTGGTGTCAAGTCCTTCAATGACTGATGCCGTGCTCCTTGTGTACCTCATTGTTCCAGCTTCAACAACAGTAATATATTCAGGTAGAGATATACTTACCAAATCATTTACTATTTTATAGAAGAGCGTAATTGAATTATGGATGAACTTAGATCTAATGGGTAGAATTTTAAGCTCCTTCTGCTTCTCATAAAATACAATATCACTATAATGATCAAACTGTTGTCCATTGATCCATTTGATCGCTCTTTTCTGGATTGCCTCAAACTTCGACATGTGTGTCGATCGCTGAGGACACCATATAACTGAGCAATGTTCAAAGATTGATCTTACAATGGTAAGGTAGAAAGCCCTCTTTTGGCGTTTATCCATGGTAAAATGACAGGTTCTCTTTAAGAGCCCAAGCTTCGAGCTTGCTTTAGATATCAATTGATCACAATGTGCACCCCACAGAAACCTGTTGTTCATTATTACACCAAGATCTGTATGGGATGCCACATAATCAATTATGACTTCATTAAGATTATACCAATAAATATTAAAAGGAAGATTGTCTAATACATTTCTTTGCAGAGTTACAGATAACACCTTACACTTTGAAGGGTGAAAAGTCATTTTGTTATCGATTGACCAGGCAAACAACCTGTCTATATCTCCTTGAAGAATATAGTGGTCTTCAAAGCATTCGATGACCCTCCAAATTTTGGTGTCATCTGCATACAATGCTACATTTGTATCCTCCGAAACACACGAGAACATGTCGTTGATGAATAGAACAAACAGAAGTGGTCCCAGAATAGATCCCTGGGGCACTCCTGATTGCACGGGAAGCATGCTTGAGACAGCTCCGCCTACAACAACCTGCTGTCGTCTGTCTTGTAAATACGACTTTAAAAATCTAAGCATCAGACCATCAATACCATATAAATTTTTTAGCTTGCGAAGGATTAAGTCATGTGAGACACTGTCAAATGCCTTAGCAAAATCAAAATAAACAATGTCGGATCTTGACTTATTGTTCAGGGCCAGTGCAAGGTTGTCTGTGAATGGGACCATCTGGGTAGTGCAAGACTTCCCATTCACAAAACCGTGTTGTCTACAGTCGATTAACCCTTCACAAGCTGCGAGCAACTCTTTCGAAATACAACG